GCACCCGGCTCTGTCCCGGGAGAAGTCCCAAAGCTGCCCAGCACGGGCTAGATTAAAGTGAAAACTGAGATGTCAAGTAACTAATGGGAGAAGGTTTTTGTGCCCCCGAATCCGCGGCGTCCGCATTTTGGTACTGAGGGCGAGCGCGGGGCTGCGGCGGGACGGGGAGGGTGCGGCGGGGGTAAGCGAGGGCAGCAGCGACAGGGAGCGGCAGAGGGAAGGACACCCGTGACCGACACCTCAAAGCCCAGACCACGGACCCGTTCGAGCGGTGCATCCATGACAGACCAAAACGCAGCCTGGAGAAAAGACCCCTCGAGGCAGACCGTGCCAGCGAGCCCTGGTGCTGCTGTCCCCGGGAGCATCACGGCCAAGGAGGCAAACCGAGCTGTCGGACCCTCGGTCCTGTCCTTGGGAAGACCGCGGTCACAAACCTGGCTCACCAACCCCATGGCCGCGGCAGCCCCACCGGACCCCTCGTGGGAAACAGCCCTGGCCGCTCTCTCGGGACAGCCCATCCACAGCGCAGCGGGGCTCAGCAGCCTCTCCTCATCCCACATCAAAATTCACACAGGGCTGAGTTCTATTTGCCCAGTCTTGTGAAAGTGCTCTCCCTTAGCCGGCGTGTTTATTCTCCCTCCCTGGGACCCACACCAAGCGTATTAATAATTAAGCATAACAAAAATCTCCCCGAGCCCTCATTTCGCTAGGTTAAACACAGCAACCTCTTCCAGATGTGTTCTTTACTCTCCTGACCACGCTGGCAGCCCTCCCTGGGCGGCTGAGGTCCCTGCAGACACCCTACCCTGGCCTCTGTCTCCCCGGAGCCACGAGCCAGCAGCCGGACCTTCCCCTTCCCCGCACGCTGCAGCAGCATCGCCGCTGCATCCCGACGGACGGAGCGAGCCGGGGACTTCGGGCTGTGACCTGTCACTCTGCCCTGCCGCCAAATTCATTCTCCAGGACCCTGGCAAACATGGCTTCGTATTTTTGCAAATTGGAAGGGAAACACAGCTTGGAGGATGCAATTCAAGCTTGGGTAGAATAAATGTCAGATTAGAAACGGCAGAAGTTGCAACCTTTTGCTAGAAAAATTATGAGCAATATAGTGTGGCAAGAGGTATTTCATTTTTTTTTCACTTTACTGTGGCAAACATCTGATGTTTAAATCATCTGCGGTTCATGACTCTGCAGATCAAGCATCTGGCACTGAGGTAGATGGAGTTGATTACAAACTCCTACCTTCTAAACTTTTAATTAATTACTTCATAATTCTCCCTGCTTTTTAATAAGGTCACTGAAATGATGTTAACCAGATTATCTTCTTCCCTTTCATCTGATTTTTCTTTCACTGATGTAAATGCGGGCTAAAGACACATTAGCCTTTTTTTCTTTTTTATTAACTATCTTGATTAATTTTCTTGGTAGGAAAAGGTGTAACTATGTAATAAATAACAGTGATCGAGACTTGACTCGGTGGTCTCGTTAAGGCTTTGAGCAGGGATTTGGGAGACTGAAACTCAACTTCCAGCTCTGCCGGAGGTTCCTGCCCGCCTGTGGCCAAACCCCACCGGGTCTCGCCGCTCCCTGTACCCCGGCATGGGATGGAGAGCCTGCTGCTTCCTTTCAGCCTCGGTTATCTTCTGGTCATGCTACCTTTCTAAGTTTTACTCATTGAAATTAAGGCCTCTTTAATCCGTTAAACTGTATTTATTCTCTGAAACACTCCCATGAATACGTTCAGAAACTGTCAGCCCAAACAGCAGCCAACATACTCAAACCGACAGCCGCTGGATCTGTGTGTACAGAAGGACCTCACACACACACCAAAAGAGAGAAGAAAGGAGAGAGAGCTGGATTTACATGGCTTTTAAAGTGGAGTTTCACAGCAAACCATTTTGCAGTCTGGAGTTTGAACCTATTTGGGAGTTTATGATCAGACATCAGTCTTTATCCGTTTAATTTGCGACACAATGCACACGCCCCGGCAGAATACAGCCCGTAGGGCAGAGGAATTTTAAAGGGCTAAGACTCTGCTTTTAAATTTTCTTTTTCTCTTGTTATTTCATGCGCTGCTCCAGGTCTGCTGCTGATCATTTATTCACAAGGTAAAAGGAAACCCAGCCCTTTGACTGAACACTCTTACTTTGGCAAAAGACCTGCTTTTCCCTTCATTTATTTCCCCCCAATAGCACAAGTTGTTTCTAATCTTGAAATACAAAGCCACGAACAGTATTAAAAGGAAACATAAAACTGCTTCCATAAAATGCTACCATATCATCCCCGTGAACCCTCTCCGGCAGGGAAGGATATATAAGCTTACAGCACCAATTAGCTGTTTGATGGTCCCTTTGCAGTCGCGGTTACTTTCAGACAGATCCATCTCCACCTCAAAGGACGCACGAATCTTGCGTCCTGACCTCCTGAGCCTCAGCGCAGGGAAGGCGAAGCGACGGCTTTATTAGCAGGGGAAGTACAAAGAGACCCCATTAAAAGTGCTTACACGCACGAGTCCCGTTCAGGTAACGGCGGGAGTAAGCGTGACGCGGGTCTCTCTAAATTACTGCGCAAAACCCGATGTTGATTCAAGGTGGGGTCCCACCCGCGTGGGATGAGCGGTTGTTGTGACTCTCCTCTGATCTACTGAGCGTCCATTGCATGGCTGACAGCTACTAATACCTGTAGTAATATGTACATAAAGATACGAGCTGGAATGGAAAGAAACAGCCACAGTCATCACCGAGATGGGTTGGGGCGTCCTCCAGAGCTGCTGCTCCCGCTCCGGCACTCAGTGCATGCCAGACCCCTCTCTACACGCAGGGAGCTCAGCAGCTTTACTGTCTCGCTAAGTGCCAAGAGAACCACACACACAAAAATACAGGGACAGTGATTTTTTTTAACTTTATCTTGAAAATGGCTCACTTGTTCTGGCTATGCTTCGTGGAGCTGGTCCCTACTTCCTACATAAAATATGACTGAAATAACATTGGAGTGACTAAATATATCTATATCATTGAAATAAGAATTGATACTGTCACAGCTTCTTCATTCCACCTTCCCAATCTGAGAGCATTCAAAGACTTCTGCAACACAGAAACGACTCCCCCCCCCCAAACAGCACGTGGACAGCTGCCTCTGAGGAAGGCTGTAAAAGGGACTAAGTGGTGGCTTCTGGGCTGTACTAATGAAATAACGTTTTTCATGCACCAAATACACTCAGCTCTCACAGAGCTACAGTCTCGCATTCTTACAAACCATCGGGGTCGAAAGGTCCAGTGGTTAAGGATAATTAGTTTGAGAAGCTTTTCATACACGTTACTTGTAAGGGATTTCGGTGTGCCATATGGATTAATAGAGATTGCCATTTAAATTCTTCTGGTTTGCATTCATTGCTTTATTACTCATAAAAATGCAAAAGAAAATGTTAATGATGATTTCACCAAAGACTAATAAGTTAAAGCCTTAGGTTATACTTTGCATTTCTGAAGATATAAATGCAATCGCTTAATAATTATGCATATTTTTAACTATTGAGTTATTATTTCTCTATACGCTTGTAGTTATCCTAATTAATTTTAAGCTCCTGTTTATATGTTTTATACATGCACTTAAATTCCAACTTTTTTTTTTAGCCCGTTGCACAAGAGCAGTAACTATGACAAAGTCAATCAAAACTCAGGATTGTTCACCCTGGGACAACACAACAAATATCGCCTCAGCGTGTGAAAGGGCCGTGTGGTTCTGCAGCCCCTGGAACAGCAACTGTCTCACGGAGAGAAACGGACGGTTCTTATGAACAGTACTGGGATCTTAGCATTTCCGTGAGAAAACTGGTCTGGAAGAAACAAAACCTACGGACTGTGATCCAAAATCAGCTCATTTTGTCTTCACTTGTTTGTTTTGTTTTAATGGATTTCTATTAAATTTCTAAATCTAGTAGAATTCCTGTTTTTTAAAAAATTGCTTTATTCATTCTAATTTTACTTTTTTTAAGCTGATGAGTTAATTCTCATTTTTCTAACAATGCCAGTGATGGCACAGACCAGAGAAGGCACGTGATGTACTCAAATGAAATACCGCACCTTTTACATGCCAGTAAAATTTACAGAAAACTTCACGCTTCCAGCTTCCTGGGGGTAGGACACATCCACGCGGGCAGGTAAGCTGGGGGCGGTGGGAACGGGAGGAAGACCCTGGGGCAGTGGGGCTGCCGATGGGGTATCAAACCCCCCGGTGAATCCATCCTCGCCGTGGAGCGGTGCCGGAAAGCGGACGAGCATCCCGAGGAGCTCTGCACGGCAGTTTGCGCTCTGGCCTCGGTGTCACGGCACCCAGCAGTTGTCCCTCCTGCGGTACTTTCATTAGGCGATCACCAAAGCACGTTTTGTGGCCTTGTTCCACCCCCGAGGACCGCCGGGTCCCGATGCGCGGTGACCCTGCCATGGTGTGCTGAGGCGGCAGCACTGGCTATTTCTGAACACATCCTGACATCGTCAAGGAAACGAGGGCGTTTCTGGCAATATTTGATATCAATGTTAAAATGCAAAGGCTGTAAACCATCCGTGAACTCTGCACCTGATCCTGCACCTCTACACAGTGACGAGGTTTAACACCATGGAAAGCAACCAAGTTCTGAGCCATGCAGGAGACCTATACCGAACTGAGAGATACCTGCAGACTGCCACTGCAGGGGACTACACCTAGACTATTGTACTGGTATTTTCCACTTATATTTTCACATCTCCTTCAACTGTCAGCAGAGCAGGAGTGAGGATTTAAACCTCATTTTGGCAAGCCGGAGACCCTTCTGGGCTAATTCTCTATCTGCAGGGGCCCAGAGCCAACAGCACATACAGTCTACGGCTACATACCTCCAAGAAAAAAGAAAGAAACAAAGGAATCAAAGCTTTAAAATGTGCTTAGCTGACATTTCCCACCTATAAACGAGTTTTTCTCCAGTACATCTCCAGTAAGGATTTGCAGTTGGTTCAAACACTTACCTTGTACAGTTAAGTGCACCTGCATCGTTCTAGGAGTGTGCTGAGTTTGCACAGAACAAGTGTACGGACCGTCGTCTGTCACGTCCACGTCCTGTATCTGCAGGCTGTATTCTCTTCTGTTTGCTGTTGCAATGGAAACTCGAGGATCTACTGACCACTTATCACTTCCAGCAAAAATAATACTCGACCGATTCAGCCAGGCACCTTTTGAAGCTCCATCTTCCAAGTAACACCTGGGAAAAAAAGGTGAAACCGTAAGTATGGAAACGTAGGATCTTTTAAGCACCACTACCTTGCTATTGATTTGCAGACTGAATACAGCTATATTAGAGCTGAACCTAAAAACACGAGCCATCTGTTAATTCACAAATCACCAGAAAACCAAAAGCCAATCTTGCAAACACACAGCAGCGTTCTCCCTTTCTGCTTTTCCTGCTGTGAGTGTGCAGTGGAGCAGCAGGCAGAAAGCCTCAGCGACTTCTGAACTGGACTCAGTGGCTACACTGGAGCCAGCCCTTCCTGCCCCAGTGTCAGCCCGTCAGGATCAGGAGTCAGCGCCTGCACCTCTGCTAAATTATTGTTCTTTTCCTAAATAAATAATAAAGTTCTGCCTGCTTCGTTAAGGAACCAAGAGACTTTTTCTACCAAAACCAATAACGACATCTCAGAATCTAAAACAATATTTTTTTTCTTTTCAAAAGGTTATTAGATTTGTCATTGCTAATCATATTCAAGACATCTCTCTTAAAGCAAACACACATTCAATTAACATGGATTTCCCTGCTGACAACAACAATGAAATGTAAAGTGCAGTTCTGCTAAATATTTTTAAAAACCTCTTTGATATGGTAGTGACTCCAATGTGATTTGTTTATTATGCCTTACATTAGCTTTTTTACAGTTATTATTAGCAAAAGGACCAAACGCAGTGCTTTTCAGGATATAACAGCCAGCTTCACTGGAGCTTGGTGTGTAACAGCAACCTGCCATCAGATGTGTCCCAGGCAGGTCCCTTGCCTTCTGAATATTAGTTCCAAAGATATTCCTCCAGAAAGTCAAGGCTGTTTTTTTAAAATTAGTAAAAAGTACAGCAGGAGAATGAAAACGCATCTATCTGAAGAGCCTGACAGCATTTCTGCACAGCATCTTGGGGGTGTGAACATGGCACCGGAGATTGCAAGGGAACCGGAGCCGGTTCTGCAAACCGACTGAAACTCATCAGCTGAGAAACACGAAGAACAAGGTATATTGCAAAATCTAATTTGTAGTCCGTTTCACCATCTGTAGAATCAAAAACCAGTCGGAGTATTAAAGGTCAATGTTAATTGAAAATCTTTTCGGTAGATGCGCAACCGGAAAAAAACGCCAGCCAGGCACAGCAGCAGGGTAACCTGCTCCTAAGGCAATCAGGCGCTGCGAGGTGCTGCTGTCGTCAATATTTTGCATTGTGTATTAGGAAACATTTGTAATTTCTCTCTAAAATAGCTTTCCATCTTGACTTGCTCACTCGGACACGGGGAGGAGGAGAACCGCCCTGCGAAGGGCACTGTGCAGTACCACTGCCGAGGCCTCAGCGCCGCACGGCATCGCACGCGGCTACCGAAACCTGGTCAAAAAGGGGCGAATGATGCTGACAGCGCTGCCCGGCACAGACACAGAATCACAGAATCACACAGAATCACGGAATGGTCGGGGTTGGAAGGGACCTCTGTGGGTCACCCAGCCCAACCCCCTGCCCAAGCAGGGTCACCCAGAGCCGGCTGTAGAGGACCTTGTCCAGGCAGGTCTGGAATATCTCCAGAGAAGGAGACTCCACAACCTCCCTGGGCAGCC